TGCCCTTCCTGACCCAGACTCCAGGTGGACCAGGCACTTTGCCCTTCCTGACCCAGACTCCAGGTGGACCAGGCACCATGCTCTTCCTGACCTAGACTCCAGGTGGAACAGGCACCATGCCCTTTCTGACCCAGACTCCAGGTGGACCAGGCACCATGCCCTTTCTAACCCAGACTCCAGGTGGACCAGCCACCATGCCCTTCCTGACTCAGACTCCAGAAAGTAAGAAAGGGGGTTGTTCTACGTGTGTAAGGCACCAGCAGCGCTTCACTTGTCTCAGGTGTTGTGGGAAACAGGAAATTGTGGTGACTCTGTTGGATGGCTTGTGATTGGGGAAGGTGCCATCAGAGATGAGAATACGGGAGGAAGTGAATCAGATAGCTTTTTCTTGACAAGGCTTTAATGTTTATAGTCTGCTCGTTTTGATTTTGTGCTAGTCCTTCTGTGAATTCAGGTAATGGATTGCATAAAACTTTTAATTTACCTGCTTACATAGATCTTTGAGAATAGGTTCAAGGAAGTGATTAACAGGATCCATAATGTCAGTAGTAGTATGTTTGCATGCTTTCTTTCCTACTTATGTAACTTCCTTAGATTCATACTAAGCAACCACAGAGAGGAAACCTATTTGAACTAATGAGAGATGGGAACTGAACATACCAGGCCCAGAAGTTGATAAATAATCAAAAGAATTCTTGTGCCTGAGTTAACGATAGATGGTAGCAGGTAAACAGAGGAAGCTTTTGCTCAATGAGGAGACTGTATAAGGTTTATCTGCCAGGTCTTTGGGAAGAAAAGATCCATTTAAAGCAATGGAATTGGGGAATGGGAATCACAAAAACTAGTGGTTGTGGTCTAAACATTTGGATTCTGGGTTTGCAAATAAGTTGTTTTCTAAGACTACATAGAACATGATCACAAATATTAACAAACATGAAAGAATATACACAATAGAAATGTATGAAAGGCATTTAGAATATTTATTATAAAGTGACATGGAAGCACAGCAGGAGGAATTCAATCTTCGGTTTTAATAAACATCAGCTCCTACCAACTTTTCCTCCTCCTCCATGGTTAACCGGAAGTGAGTACCTTCCACCTGGCCTCCCTTCTCACTCAGTGGACCCCCAGAAAACTTCTCTGCTGGGACTGTATTTTCTCAAATAGAGGCAGAATAAACGAGAGGGACAGAGAGGGAGAAATTCATCGTGGATACATTTGCTGAGGAGTCTGGCAGATGAACAAACATGATTTCTTGATGGGCTCTGTTATGGACGGTCCTTTTCCTCACTGACACACTTATGTGAAACTAGGAAGGATGGCAAAGTGCAGAAAAAAAAACGCTCTAATAAAAAATTATGACATCTTAGCAGCTTGGACTGTAGCAACTTATAGTTGAGTTATCCAAAAACTCTTAAAGCTGCCTTTTAATTTCTTTCCATTCTGACACAATAATATAATATTCTATTTCTTAAGAAATAGGAATATGAATGAGATGTACACAATAAAATAATAAATTCTACATTTGTGAATTTTCTCTGCAGTAGGAAAATGATGACACATCTTAGGGTCAGACCTTATTAATCATAAATCATTAAAATTATCAAGTTTCAAGTATTTTTCTTATTTTCTAGACAAAAGAGCCAAGAAGCATATTTGAAATTTTCACATTTCATCCACACATTAGCTGGGTTACAATTTTATTTTTAAGGCTTCATTAAACAAATATGCCAACTCTAGTGAGTTTCTACAAACTATTCAACTCAGTTTAGATTAACAAGAAATTCAAATCCATAATAAAATATGTTCCTGAAACCCATTGTGCTATTTTTCTTCATGGTTTTTTGCAGATTTTGTATATTTCTGTCACATTATTTTTGGAGAGAGAAATGTAGTAAAAATTGTTCTTCAAGCTAACAAATAAAAAAATCCCCTTGTTATAGCCAAGATGACATGTGGATGATACTTTTTTCTAATTGCATCTACTGGAAACATCTAGAAACTGTGAAGTGGCCCAGGTCATATGATCATTATATTAGAGAGGTCACTGGGTTCTGTCACCATTGAGCATCGTGCATTTAATATCATCTCTCCACTTTGGTGTTTACAACTTACTGTTGAAGTTATGTGCTCTAACTGATTTATATTATTGCAAAAGGCAAATCATGCTGATGTTAATGCTGGGTTGTATTGCACAATGCTCCACTAAAGGTAGGTTTCTCTGAGACAGAATCAGTTGAGCTTATGAAGTTTCTTGTGCTTATTTATTTCTCCTAATGCTATGATAAATTTATTGTTGCAATTAAGATTATAGCTAAAAGCTTTCTTGATGGAAAAGAGTTTTCCTATCTGTCTTCTAGCAATGAACACAATACAGAATAAATCCTGAGGCCTGGGGATGAAGGTCTATCATTCTGCTTTTCAGTGGGACAGGCCTTCTCGAAGCCTCAGTCTAATACATATCTGTAGCAGGGGTCTTAAAAGTTCTTATTAATAGGAGCCTTGGCTGAGGCTCGGCTCGGCTCTCGGGCGCGTCTGTCTGCCGCCGCCGGGCCGCCCGCGGTGTCGCCGGGGGAGGATGAGCGTGATCGACCACGTGCGGGACATGGCGGCCGCGGGGCTGCACTCCAACGTGCGGCTCCTCAGCAGCCTGCTGCTGACCATGAGTAATAACAACCCTGAACTGTTTTCCCCATCTCAGAAGTACCAGCTTTTGGTGTATCATGCAGACTCTCTCTTTCACGATAAGGAGTATCGGAATGCCGTGATGTCTTCCATCTGAAATTGAAGTGAAATACAAAATGGCTGAGTGTTACACAATGCTGAAACTGGACAAAGATGCCATCGCTGTGCTCGACGGGATCCCTTCAAGACAGAGGACTCCCAAAATAAACATGATGTTGGCAAACCTGTACAGGAAGGCTAGTCAGGAGCGCCCATCAGTCACCAGCTATAAGGAGGTCCTGCGGCAGTGCCCCTTGGCCCTTGACGCCATTCTAGGTTTGTTATCCCTTTCTGTCAAAGGTGCAGAGGTGGCGTCAATGACGATGAATGTGATCCAGACTGTGCCCAACCTGGACTGGCTGTCCGTGTGGATTAAAGCCTATGCCTTTGTGCACACTGGCGACAACTCGAGAGCCATCAACACCATCTGTTCACTAGAGAAAAAGTCCTTACTGCGAGACAACGTGGACCTGCTGGGGAGCTTGGCAGACCTGTACTTCAGAGCAGGAGACAGTAAGAACTCCGTCCTCAAGTTTGAACAGGCGCAGATGTTGGATCCTTATCTGATAAAAGGAATGGACGTCTACGGCTACCTGCTGGCGCGGGAAGGGCGACTGGAGGACGTGGAGAACCTCGGCTGCCGTCTCTTCAACATATCCGACCAGCATGCGGAGCCCTGGGTGGTCTCCGGATGCCACAGCTTCTACAGCAAGCGCTACTCTCGGGCCCTCTACTTGGGCGCCAAGGCCATTCAGCTGAACAGCAACAGCGTCCAGGCCTTGCTCCTCAAAGGCGCAGCGCTCAGGAACATGGGCAGAGTCCAGGAAGCCATCATACACTTTCGGGAGGCCATAAGGCTCGCACCTTGTCGCTTAGACTGTTACGAAGGTCTCATAGAATGTTACTTAGCGTCCAACAGCATTCGAGAAGCCATGGTGATGGCCAACAACGTTTACAAAACTCTGGGTGCGAACGCGCAGACCCTGACGCTCTTAGCCACGGTGTGCCTGGAGGACCCGGTGACGCAGGAGAAAGCCAAAACGCTGTTAGATAAGGCGCTGGCCCAGAGGCCGGACTACGTCAAAGCCGTGGTGAAGAAAGCCGAGCTGCTGAGCAGGGAGCAGAAATACGAAGATGGAATTGCTCTGTTGAGGAATGCCCTGGCCAATCAGAGCGACTGCGTCCTGCATCGGATCCTGGGGGACTTCCTGGTGGCCGTGAACGAGTACCAGGAGGCGATGGACCAGTACAGTATCGCACTGAGTTTGGACCCCAACGACCAGAAGTCTCTGGAGGGGATGCAGAAGATGGAGAAGGAGGAGAGTCCCACAGATGCTACTCAGGAGGAAGATGTGGACGACATGGAAGGGAGCGGCGAGGAAGGGGACCTGGAGGGCAGCGACAGTGAGGCGGCCCAGTGGGCTGACCAGGAGCAGTGGTTCGGCATGCAGTGACGGCGGCAGCCCTGGGGACTCCTGGACGGACGCTGTGGGAGGACTCCCTGTCCGGTTCCCCACCTCGTAGTCGGGACTTGAGCAGCCTGATGTCTGTCCTTCTTGCTTTGCTGAGGACTGAGAGCGACCCAAGCCGCCCACTCACCAGGCTCTGGGGTTCTGAGGTGCCCGGCGGAAGATGCTTTTCCTCGACAGGAATGGGTTCACAGGACACATGCACGGGGTGGCCCTGTCAGGTGTCTGGTTCCCGGGAGTCATGGTGCTGGGTCCGCCACGCTCCCTGCTAGGAATGGCGTTGTTCTGGCGGGGCAGTTTCCCTGTGCCTCAGTGACTGCGGAGCAGTCCTGGGCCTCGGTGCGGGCAGATCTGAGAAGCAGCATGATGGGAGCATGGGCCACACCAGGGCCGTTCAACTAATAAAACTGTTCGGTGGGTCACAGTGGACACCCTTTCATAGACTCTCCCTTCCCTCTCCTGGTCAGAGACAGCCGTGCGGCCCGAGAACAGCTGGCCATAAATACACTCCCTTTCCTCTCATGTGGTGGGAGGCCGAGCCCTGACCACTTCACGTGGGGCCCAGAGGTCAGGTCTGATCTGCCCTGGAGCAGCCGAGTGTCATTCAGCACTGGGAACAGGCCGCCTCACCTCCACCCTGGGTTCTGCCTTTCAAGATGCAGACCAAGGTGCTAGAAATCTGATGCACAGAGAGATTCACTGCAAAGGGACAATTGTCAAAGTCAGAACACCTGTCAGTGCAGTGGGACGTGGGCCAGCGTAGCCTGGGTGAGACATCTGGCACTTGGGGGACAGAGGCGTGACAGTTCCACACAGCAGGATCTGTTTCACGATACGTGATAAATAAAATGGACCAAGTCTCATGAAAAAAAAAAAAAAGTTCTTATTAATAAAATCAAGCCTGAGGCCAGTTATTGGGGTGAAATGCTGGATGATCAGAGAACCAGAACAAGCCAGAGTTACCTCACCTCACCAGATCCTCAGCTGGTCTTGTTTCCTCAGACTGGAGGCCTCTGAGTCCTCATACAGAATGGGTCTCAGCTGAACTGCTGCTCAAAAGCCTGAATTAACCAGGCCAAATGCTTCTAGTTTCTGGTCCTCATGCCTTATATACCTTTCTGCTTTCTACCACCACTCCCTGGGATTAAAAGCTCACTTTCTGGGATTAAGGCATGTATCACCATGCCTGGCTGTTTCCAATGTGGCCTTGAACTCACAGAGATCCAGAGGAATTTCTACCTCTGGAATGCTAGGATTAAAGGTGTGAGTGCCACCATTTAGCCTTTGTATCTAGTGGCTTTTCTGTTCTCTGACCCCAGATAAGTTTATTAGGGTACACAATATTTTGGGGAACACAATACCACCACATATATCATTTGTCTTTTATTTCAAATTTTATACTGTTTATTGTTTTGTATTTGTATATATAATTGTGTGTGTGTGTGTGTGTGTGTGTGTGTGTGTGTAAACTTATGTGCTTGTGTGTGCTCATGAAGAGAGAGCACATATGTGTTAATATGCTCACAAGCATGTGCAGGCAAGGCCAGAGATAATCTTTCAGTAGCATTACTCAAGAGCAACTCATCTTATTTTTTGAGACAGGGCAACTTACTGACCTAGGAGAGTCATAAGCTAGGCCAGGCTGGAGGACCAGCAAGCCTCGCTTTCTCCAAGTCCCAAGGGGGTAAGAGCTGCCATGCTTGTCTTTTGATGTGGTGTCTGGGGATCAAAATGAACTCATGCTTTCACAGCAGGTGTTTTCCACACTAAGCTGTCTCATCAGCCCCATTCATTTTATTTTTCCAACAAAAAATAAAAATCAGTAAGAATATACTATATAAAAGTAATTATTATCTAATTGAATTCTCAATTTAAAGCCAGAAGAACAAAGAATATGACTCATTTTAACAGCTTAGAAATATTGAAGTGCATTTTATATATTGGAATAGTTGGAGAAATGATAAGATATTTCACATCATCTTTGTAAAGGAAAATGTATGAAATGATTTGAGATTCTTGACCATAAGACTTGCTAATGTCATTTGACTGAGAAAGCAGACAAGAGCAAGCATGTGAATATTAATCTGAAATATTGCCCTTCCTTCTTTGTGTGTGTGTGTGTGTGTGTGTGTGTGTGTGTGTGTGTGCGCGCGTGCGCGCGTTTAGGACTAATATCAATATCCAAAGTCTTCCTCTGTCTTTCTATACCACATACATTGTTTTTTAAAAGACAGGGTCTCTCATTGAACTCAGAGCTAGATGCTTCAACTGGATTGGCTGGTCAGGAAGCCCTTAGGCTTTTCTTGTCTACAACACCCTTGTATGGTGGTCATAGATTCATGCTACCAGGCCTAGCTTTTATGAGGATCCTGGGGGTCCAAATTATATCTTCATATTTGCAGAGCAAGCACTTTACTCACTGAGTCATGATTAGTGTTTTAACATTATTATTATTATTTTCAGTTTAAGGAAAGCATCTAGTATCAATCTGTTGATGGAACAAGCAGGGGCACCTTGTGGAAACTGTGCAAGAATGACAAGCCACTCAATTGCCAACTAGCAGCAAGGTGGTGTTCATGCCATGTGAAACTTTTGTTTGTTACTTCAATGTCAGGATCGACACATCTCAAACATTTACAAATCAGATGGCTTTGCTAATAACGATGAAGTGTGGCTGGGTCCTTGGAACCCACATCTTCTCAGTTTCCTGATTCGTACTATACAGATACCTGAAACTGTTGTTTACTTATATAGATAAATAGACAAGCAACCCTAGGCAAGTAATTAGTTTTCTGCTTCAATTTTATAATCAGTAAGTTTGAATTCATATATGCCCCATTATAGTAAATGTAATAATTTGATATTTAAAATATTACTGATATGGTGGTATACAGCTATAATCCCAACACATGGGAAATGAGAACAGACTCTTCAGTTTGAGGCCAGCCTGAGGTGCACGTAACCTATCTCAAGATCAAAACAAGAAACATTAAAAACATTGAATAATATTCACCAAAAGTACATGCAGAGTATCCTTTCACATTCTCTCTCTTTTTTTTTTAAGAGTTTACCTTCATTTCTGGAGTAAGAATTTGGGTACATGTGCCTTTTACCTTTGGGCTCACTTGAGATGCCACAAGGAACTATTACTATTTCTCACTTGTGGGAGAGACTATTGCACATTTAACTACTGTCTGGCCATGCCTGAGAGTCTCGTTATCTCCTTGAAAATAAAGCCCAGAGGATGCTCAGTGGAAAAGCAAATAGATATCATCTAGGAATTGTTTGGAGATGTTTTGATCTCTTTGATCTTTGGAAGAATTTTGCCAGCATAAAAAAGAAAAGAAAGGTGAGATAAAGGATGTTTTAGATGGACTAGATCAAAGTTTGAATAGGACAACTCTAGAATTAATTCTGTGATTTTGCTGGGTTCAGTCTTCATTGTTGTCATCAGATGTCGTCATCCTCTTCTGCTATATCTTGGGCTGCTGTTTGTTCTTATTCCTGCTACTCTTTCCTTCCATCCTTTTCCTTCTCTCCTTCCTTCCTTTGTCCCTTCTTTCCTCCCTTCCTCCATTTCTTCCTTCTTTCTTTCCATTTGTCCATCTTTTTTTTTCTTATTTTTACTTGTTTTGGGGATCATTTAATAGCAATATATTCATATTGGCTTGAGCACGAGGGATGAGAAAGAAAGAACAATGCTCAGGATGACATACTTTAAAGAACTGGTATGTCTCACAACCAGGACTAATACCACATACTTTTCATGAGTCAGTATATGTGAAAACATGTCATAGCAGCTTCACACATACACACTAACACTTTGAAATTTCCAAATGGTAATATATTGTAAATTTCTATGAGTGTAATGCATAACAGAAATGTAACTAAGTGAAATCTAAAATACTTCCTTCTGTTTTGGTTTCCGTTTAAAATTAATGGCACATAAAACTATTTTTCTTTTAAAATGTTATTTTCTTCTATTAAATGTAACATCTGATTGAAGTGTATCTCATAGGATACCAGGGAAGAAAGCAACTGAGAGCTTATCCCTTGCCCAAACACATGAGCAAACCCATGGATATCAATGATTGCTAATATTTTCTAATAATTTGTAGATTTTTGTTCTCCTTTTGTTATGTTTGGAAAAATATGAGCATTAGATACCATGACAATGTTTTCAGGCTGCCAAATGCCAACAAGAGCAGACCGCACAGCAAGAGCAGTGTGTTTGTTTGACAATGTGTTATACGCTATTGATAATGGTTTGAAACTGAAATCAGTATTCTTGCTCAGTGATATGAAGTTTTAGTGTCTTTGATTTTAATTAAAGACCAATGTCTAGTGCTGTTGTTTATGTGTCTCTCTCCTGTCAGTGTAGAGGTGAAATTAGATAATATATCAGCTTCCCACATGCTTTTGAATTTTAACATGACTTCAAAATTCATAAGGTAATTGCATTTGTTTGGTAGATGCTGTTACATAGTATTTACTCACAGTTCCCTGTATCCTTTGTTCCTAATTGCTAACACAGGACCACTGGTCATATTAGACAGTCGGTTTGCTCAGCTTGAACTCACAGGAATTTGGATTTTCTTGGTAGCATCCCTCAAGTTCTAGTCCTTAAGTCATAGGTGTCTGTGGCATACATTAGAGAAAATGTAGAAAGAAAAAAGTGGAGATTTTAGCTTTTTGCCTAGATATACATTGCCAAGCAGTTGACAAAGGAAAATAAAAAGGTGAATGTTTTTCATTTTATTACAGTACCTATATAGTTGATAATAGAAGACAATTATCTATGTTTCATACTTAATCCCGATATCAATGGTCATTAAACAGGCCCTGAAGAAGCAGGTGAAGAATGATCATTGATAAAATGACCATTGGATGCATTTGTCAACCACTGGTGAAAAAAAAATAAAAGAATAAAACATGGGCATCCATCATTCATTCATTCTTCACAGAACACTGCCAGATTTCAGTGAGCCCAGATGTGAAGAAGTGAAGGATTTCCATGTTAAATAATTCCCCATAAATTTTTCAGAGGAATTCACTGGGGTGCTGAAAATCATTCTGATTTCAGAAACTTAAAATGTCTAGATTGTTTTCAAAGTTTCATAGTTCTCTTTAGGAATTCTTTAGAGTTGCTTCCTGGACCTGAGAACAGAACCTAAGCATTATCAGGGATCTAACACATAAAAATAACTACTATAGATCAGGCAAGGAGAATGAGGCTTCACTTTTCCTTTCTTCTTACTACAAAAGACACAATAAGTGTTTTTATGTGCTCAGCTGAGGAAAATTAATGAGAGCTTTTGTAGTCAAGCTTACTAAGACAGTTTTCATTTATTGTTTCTTTAATTTTGTGGCTAGAGTTGTGTTTGATTTGGTTCTCATCAGTAAGTCTCAGATTGAAAGTACCTTAAGTT